AAATACTGTATAAAAGACTCAAGAAAAATTTCCCTTGAAGCACACCACCGGTTTCATGGTTCTTACCGCTCGTTAGGTATGCGTATCTATTATCAGTTCATTCATATACATGCAACCAGGAAATATGCTTTTTGTCAGAAATGACTCGTTTGCAACACCGGTTAAATTCGTTCGGACAGTCCTCTCAGAAACAGTCCGTTTATGAGACAATACTATGAATGGATATCTTGTAGGTGAGTTAGATTCTACTAACAGCTACAAACTTGACCTGAGTGTATAAGATATTTTATAATAATTAGAATTTGAAAGACTTGAGTTATTCGTATAGTGCTTATTGTATATATATTTATATAAATATATTTATATTTATATATATAATATTTATATTTATATTTATATAAATTTACCTGAGACATCTAATTTGATAAGATATCGCAAGATTGCAACAGCGATAGAGGGTTTCAAATCTCTTCCGCTTCTTCTTATTTTGATCTGATAATATCGCCGCTCTGTCATCCGATTTGAACATGAATCTAGATTAAATTCTTGACTTACTTTCATCATCCAGAGGCAGTAGTAAAGTGAAAAGTTTTAATGAATTCTGTCCTGCTACATTGGTTCAGATGCATTTAATTGTATCAAATGAAAAGTCAGTAATATCTCTGAGAAATAAACAATAATGAGAATTTGAGGCAATCTTGCAAACTTCTTCATTCTCCATTATTTAAAAACCTCGAAAGCAAATCAGTGGTCCAAAGTTCAAGAAATCAATAGTTGTTTCCTTAAAGATATATTATTTAATAAAACTATGTACCCACAGAAACCCAATTGATATTGCCGTTCTCCTATCCGTATGCAAAAGGGAAAGTAGATGACAGTGTGTATTCTGTCACAATCAGGTCAGGGACTTCAAGGTCATTCGAGTGAGCCAATGAAATTCAAGTTGTGGATTTGTCCGGACACGAAATCGATCCCTACCGGCTGGAGTACGCCTAAGGGTTCACGTGTTTGTCGGGTTCATGAAGCTGATGGACTTGGCCGAATGCACTAACGTTGGAGTGATGGTAAACAATGAATTCTGATCACCATTTAATACTGAACTGCATTTGTTCACCTGAACAAATATAAAACCATGAATTTGTTGAAACCGAACACAGAGAATAGTCGGTTGCTTATATTTGGCTATGGTTCACTTATTTGGAAACCTAACTTTTCTTACAACAAGCGTACAATTGGCTACATCAAGGGCTATCATGTTCGTTTCTATCAAGGAAATATTCTTCAACGGGGATCGCCAGGAAGGGTAAGTGCAAAACTTCATCTTACTGCAACCAGGTTTGCTAAGCCTGAATCTTGCAATTTTCCCAAATCAGATGATGAATTATTTCAAGTCAAGATAAGTCATCCAAGCACAATCTTGATAAGTAATTACTTTAATGATTTATAAGTGTTTAACAGCTATTCATTGGTTTTATAAGTGTTAGCAATTATTTTTAGCCACAAATATCTTGGTGAGTATATGAAAAGTATTTCGGATGATAACCTTGGTGAAATTGGGGTTAGATACTGCTGGTTCTAAAGGGCTCTGCCATAAACCGGCATACTAGTTATTATAAAATCATCATAATTTGGTTGTCGTGTAAAGTTTGTTCAGACTGAAGTCAACAGATTTGAAAATCTTACCAGTAGTAATCTCAATGGTACAACAATAACAAGATGGGGAACAAAATGAGCAACAAATGCACAAATGAAATTTTCACGAATTCAATGATTCAAATGAAACAGTAACTCGATAGAAAGACATCGAATGGGTACACATAAAGAACAGAAAAAACGTAGTATTTTTGCTCACTAGAGAAGTTTATAAACCATGTTGAGCAAAGGAGTACAGCGAACAACGAAAGGATTTTCAAAGGGTATGATGAGTGGGTGGTGTTGATGGGAGGGGAAACGATGATCGATGGAGCCAAGTCATGTTGATCTACATCGCTTGGTTATCGCAGTCAAGAATAGGAAAATCACAACTTTAAAATATGGAAAAATTGCATTTGCATTGGTGAATCAAGTCTAGTGCATAGAAACCTACATCAGTTTGTCTGTATTAGCGCACATCGTTGAGGTTGTTCCAAAACTGTTACCACCATATACAATATCAAAATTTATGCAAACATTCCGGTTCCTGATAACTAATCAGTTCCATGAAACAAAGGCATTCAACGATGAAGGAAATTCTATAAGAGCAAGTGGAATAAAATTGTTTTATAAACTTATCACCTAAAATAAAGCAAGAACCAGGTAGGCATAGTAAACCTTTAGTGGGATGATTACCTCATAACTTATTTGAAACATTATAAACGAATATTCGTAGGCAATGCTCAATGTGATTACTGTTCATTCGGTTTTTGGAGAACTCATCCATTGATCGTTGAACACCTCGAAAAAAGAGATATCTATCGTTCATGTTATTTGTTAGTGTCCACAACCAAAGTTTGTCTCTCACTTAAGCCAGAAAATCTCACTTCTACAGTTTTAAACTTCCTTTTCAATTCTTTTTTTATTTATTGGATATACAAATGTGCATATAGTTAACTTTAAGGAGGGGATCGCAGCCATACAAAAGTTGCCTGGGAAAATACAGAAATGGGGAAGACGGGCGGCGGTGGAGGGGTTCGAACCCAGTTTGGTGACCTAACCACTTGACCACCATGAGATCCCAACAGGATCTTAGTTAAAATGGACCAAATGCGGCTAAACCTCCTGGTGAGAATTTTGTATTCTTTGCGATTTTGCAGACGTGACGGAGATGTAAATGATCCGCTTCGCACATTAACTGGTTACAGCGGCTTTGGCATTGTACAAATTAGTCTCCTTGACTGATATTAACCTTTTTCACATTCGAAGTTGACATGGCCGGTTCACAATCATTATTTGTGAAAATTTACTAACAGAGAACTTGCACGGTTCGCAGATTACGAAATAAAGACTACTGATGTATGTTTTCTGCAATAAATCTTGTTTACGAAGGGCCAACGTGCCGCAATGGGTATCGCTTTCGTCCTTATTCCAAAATGTTTTCAGTATCTAATAATTTTGGTCTTCATTTGAACTCAAATTGGAAGGTGAAAACCAATGACTTTGAAGCTGCACGGCAAATGATCATATACTTTAACGCCTGTCTACAAACCGGCAGACAGTAGAATCAGTTTATTATATGCAAGAACACTAGATTTGATTATTATTATTCCTTTATTTTCCCAGCTCTTTCATTTTCATTTTCACCGTCGCTGCCTTGGCTTGTATGTTTGGTTTTCATAAGCAATTAGATATTTCAGTGAAACAGTTATTTTAGACAGGAAAAAAGGACTGCAAACGTCTCATCTTTTCGGAGAAAAGGAAATAATATGCGTTCAGCACAATTAAGCAGCACAAGAATGGTAATGTAGATTACTAAAACAAGTTGGGGTACATCTTAACGATGATTCAAGCAGTCATTTATTGTTCACCTTTGTACCTTTTGTTTCTTTCGGCACTAGTATTTATTTAATAAACTTCAACAGTGAAAAAAGAATCACTGATTTGCTGAATAAATATTTTAACTTAAGAGCAAACTGGATTGCAGTTCATAACAATTGGTCTTCGTGAGCTTATTGAAATATTCATAAGCTCTAAAATATAATTTATATGTCAAGTACCGTTTCACGGGTATACTCTGTCAGTATGGCCGTGTCGGCCTGAGTTCATTCAGAATGTTGCTCTGATGAAGTTGTTGATAAACAACAATCATAGATGATGCCTTAGATTACACAATCCCAATTAAAATCCGTACTACCGATTAGATTGTTAGACGTTTGTCGTCAGACCGGACCACATCCCAATGCGCAGCTTATAGGATGTTTTACTGGCGTACTGGGGAAAAAAATCTTGTAAACATTCTGATCATTGTACGCATGTATGATACCTTGATACTGGAAGACCAGGGAGTTGATATGCTCATCATGATCAGTAAACAAACTGCCTACATATATCCATAAGTGTAAATGCTGGCAACGAAATGAATAACGTTCCCTACAAATGAACACATAGTTCATGCGTAAATTCAATCAGTTACTACTCTTAGATGTTTTCTAAAGCCTTTATTGTCTAACCAAACAAAATTCTGTATCTAGCCAATCCACATAACCGTGCGTATCCAAATATCAACTCGAAAATTGAATATATTCATTTTGATTTACCTTTTTGAGTTATTCGTTTGTTCGATCAATGCAGACAAAAGCAGTGATATAGAGACAATTTCATAGAACTGCACTATGCTATATGAGGGCGGACACAAGCGCATTGCCATTACTGATGTTCACAAAAAAATATCTGAACGTCAAAATTTATATCCCAAGGACCCCAGTCGGAACGCATAACACAAACCGAATGAGTAAGCGCATTAATGATGGTTTTCAACTTTAAAGCTAGTAGTACGGTAGTTCTCGATCTTCCAACAGATTGGGTTAATTCCCCAAAACCAAAGTTGATTGTATGATACGTATAACGATTTCCCCCAAAATCAAAATCTATCAAATGCTTGAACGTGTACGACCGATATATTTTAATAGTTCTCGTCTGAATTCATCATTACGTCTGGTTTTCTGACTAGAATCATTTGTAACAGTAGCTGAAAACACGTAGCCAATTACATTACATCAGGAATGACGACGACATAAAGATCGTTTTCACGCTTGATGATGATATTGATATAAACGTATTTCCCCAAGAATGATAGAGCTGCCAACTTGCCAAATTTATTCAATTCCTACTACTGTTTCTGCAGGGTTTGAATATGAATTAATCTATCACTTTAAAAGACCTTCATCAGATGTAAGTGTAATATACAATTCAAACATAATTGCATTAGCATTCAAATATTGTAATTTACTGTTATTAAAAATTGAGCGATTTTAATTAATGTTAATTAATTTGTTAGTCTACTCAATTGTGACTAACCCATCTAGATGGTCTTTCCTATTTGTTTTCTGTTTGTTTTCAATCTTCGTATAAAGCCGGGACGCGTTGCAACGTTGATTCCAGCCGCATCCTCTGAGGCTCGTGTCTGGGGTTGTGTGTACGAAGTACTCGGTGAGCAGGATGTTCAACTTGCGTTAAACCGATTGATCGAACGTGAAGTGGTCAATGGAGGCTACAGATTTGACCGAGTCCGATTTTATCCGGTCCAAAGTCCCACTAATAAGGTCGGTTCAAGGGATAAAGTAAAGAATTGGATTCCCCCGGAACAGACAAACACACCAAGTGTATTGGAAGAGCCATTTGAAGTACTCTTCCACCTGACGGATACGGAAGTTGATTTATACCTTGGAGAGACCAGTATGGAAGCTCAAGTAAGTTAGCCTGAAAACGCTAATCATTACCTTTTAATGTGAGCAGTTTTACCAAAGTTTGAGAAATAACTTTTGATACAAAATATGTTATTTATGAAAGCCTAATCCCTTAAATTATACATGAATTACAAATAGATTTTCCTTACACGCAACTAAAGCGTTTTGTAGGCCAAACTTGGATGACCCAAGTAGTAGTAACACTAAACTAAATAGAGATTCTCCCAAAGTAAAAATATTGTCTTTCATTGAGGTTTGATAAGTATGACTATTAAAAATTCGCATAAATCATGGTATTTCGGACCTCAAATCAGGAGGCGGAAATAGTTTTCAGCTCTCAACTCTGTATTTTCAAAGCCCCTTAAATGCACGTTTAATGAGTCAGCATGCGTTTACTATTCGCTATAATCTGCGAAGACGAAAATTATTTCGGAAGACTTGTGCATGTACTCGAAACTTAAATTTTCAAGGGTTTTTCAATCTTATGAACATCCTATGTCAGGCGGGTTAGGCAAGATGGAACAAGATTGTTTAGCAAAACTTTACAAAAAAGGAGCAGGAAAAAATATACGTCCCGACATAAAGGACGAAATGTAGCCGTGAGAAACAGAGTAGTTGTTTGGTTATAGAAATATAGATTTTATGCTAGTGGTCGTGAGACTGCTTATCGAATTGCGAAATGTATTTGATATTGGAACTGGAACCTCTCTCACTCCTCCAACATTTTCATGTCGCTTCATTTCTCTCAGTCTGCGATTATCTGAAAATCATCAAATAAAATACTTTCCTAGATCAATTGTATGAGCTTGATTTATAGCCTTTCCGCAGAACAATTTGCTGATATTCGCGGACTCATAAGCTTGTCCCCAATGTCGCGCATTTGGTTAGCTCTTATCTTGTCAACATTGTATCTACATTTCTTGTATAACATAAACCTTAACTTCCACAAAATGAATTTCGATTAAGCTGAATCTTAGATGTTGACATGTTTATTTGACAGTATTTTTCTTCAGAACAATTGTTTAGTAATCTCACTTCAAAAAGAATAATCGTTTTAATTATCGAAGAAACTAAAGTTAATGCTTTGATTCATCACCATTTCTCCTTCTAGGTGTATTTGCCTACGTAGATCTAATAAGTACGCACTCAAATCAACTTCGTAAAATGACAACCAGCTTCGGGTATTATTGTTCACTTGGTTTTGATCATATCCTCTGCCCTTCGAATCGCATACGCTGCTATTTTATGCGGGACCAAGAACTTAATATTAAGTGGTACACAAAAGATTGGACAATATTTGCCAGGATCTGTTTATTTGTTGCATCTACGTTCTTGTACTACTTTCAGTCCGTGGTCGGTTTTGATGTCGGCATCAGAGGAACATTAATTGGTCCTTATGTGAGACCATGAACAGCGAAAAGATGATTAGGCGAACTTCATGGTCTAAGTAAAAATAGATAACTCAAGACAATGAATGTTTGGATTAACCCATTCAGTTTTTCACAGGCACCAGGCGCTGTCGATGAACTTAGGTGTGGGTTTCACTGATTTGGAGATCGCTAATCCCCCAACAGTTAAATGTGTGTACCTGTAGCTCGGGGGTAACGGTACTGTCCCCCAACCCGACTGTTCGCGGTTCGATTGCTGACAGTGACACAAAAAGTATGCCGTGATAGCTAGTCACAAACAGGACGAAACGCTGTCCAATGAACTTTATCGGCCTTTAAAAACATTTTCACCTCATTTAAAGGAATAGATCAACCGTATTAGTTAATTAATCACACAATAAAAACTATTTTCGTAGAATATGATGTCCAAGGAGGTGGGGTAGAGATTGACAATACTATCATTATGTTACCGGGTTACTGTTGATTACCCTTCACTTGCACCTCGCGAAGTGCTCCCATACCGGCAAGCGTTTCAAATATTGTCTGATGAGGAAGCCCTACTCATTGCCTTCTCGTGGTGGAGGTACTTTCCAACCAAAGTGAAGGAACGTAAACCCAACGTCCGTGGATAGAAATGGTTTGATAGACCACTGGTAGTTCACCTGTGGGAGTTGGCTAAAAACCCTGATTTCAAACCAACCCAGAAGGGGTGTACAAACCACACACATCTTACTGGTCGTGAAAGTGGTCGCCGGCTTGATTGGGCATCAAGGTGTGTTAACCATCTTGGACGTTTGACCCCGTCCAAAGGGCGTAAGATCCGATAAACTGGACACCGGATCCCAATTGCTTGCAGTTTTCCCACACCGCCCCGCTGCCTTGTGAGTCAGGCTTTAGCTAACCAAAGGCTCCGGTTGTGAACGCTCCGAGAAAATTCACCAGCTATGGCCTGTAAAACCTACAGTATTCCGCCCACAAGCAAATCATGGAACGTTTTCCTTTCTCATAAAGATTGTTGCACCATGATTTCTATGGCACAGTTTGAACTCAGATGTATTCGAGATACAAACATAAATACACTATATCAGGATGAGGCAGATAGATTTCTTGGCGGTGAAACTTATGCTGTGTGAGTAGGCAGTAGTTAGTGATTTATCCGAACACTATGCATTCCATTGGAGGTGATGGTCATTTCATCCTGACGCATTCTTCATTCTTTATCGTTTGGATTGTTTGTGCCTACTGATCAATGAATAAACGATGCACAAGGTGAATCTCGGTTGAGTAAGTTAAATTGCTCTCTGGTTACAAATGTCACAGTATCACTTTTGGTTCATACATACAGGAGGACTTGGCATCTTTCTACTATCTGCTACTGATATGGCAGAACAAAGAATGTATGCTAAAGAAAATAATGAAAACTTAAAGCGTAGTGAAGATACAATGAAAGATTCAGATATGTGCCGGAAATGAGCGTATTGACCTGTAGCATTGGTCACGGGACTCGGCAATATCACTCACTGTGTTCATTGGGCTGATCACGGGATCCCCAACGGGGAAACCGCAAGTGCTCCTACATCCTTTAGTAACTATTGGAAAACTAGGGTCATTTCCGTGTTGCTTTCTTTTCAGTCTATTAAATTGGGAAACTTCATTAACCAATCAATTTGGAAAAGACTGGTCATAATATTTTTCCAAGCATTTAGTAGATCAGGCACAGCATAGCAACAACAATGATATGATGGAAATAAACAGTGGTAACCGAAAATGTTTGATTAAATCTGACTAACTGACTACGTTTTGAATCGGTTTACAGCTAACTGCGCTTATGCAGGCCGACGAGTGACCTTTCCTATTATTGAGTCCATTAGCGTAACTACTCCGTTACTTTTCAGTAAAGCCTTGTCAAGCTTTTAGATTTGACAATTCATATGAAAGTAGAGTGTTCTAAAATCTGTCAATTCTCTGTTTCATAAAAAACAAATATTTTGGGCACAAAACAGATAACTGAGAAAACGGAACCTTTCAGTACGCTTTTTATTTACATAATCCGTAAAACGTGTATCTCCAAGTTACCTGAACATACAAACATTGATGCAATAAAATTAATCATGATAAACAATGGAACTAAATAATCACTGTTCAATACCTGAATTGTTTTGGACAAAAACATTTGCAGTGTTGAAATGGCTTTTCTATCTTATCCGTGATGTTTCTCTAACAATTTATATCACTAGCCTTGTATGGACAACTTACGAAAATTGAACACAATGTCGTCTAAAAGGTGATAAAAAAACGACCAGATGACAGTAGAAGTTGAGATTTCAACGATTCATTTACATCGTACGCACTTTGCCTATGTTTTTATTTTTTGTTCACAGGATTGATTCCATGCTACAAAAATAAAATTCTCCCCCGGATTAGCTTCTCATGTATCCTGGCTAATGTGTGGTGAAAGACGGACGCTAGAAACATGGGTGCCATTGGGCTTAGGTTCGGGCCTCGGAAATTGGGGCATTTGATATGCAAGCCGTTTTTAAAGATATGGCTAACAACTGATTCCCTTGGCTTCATACTCAAAGATCAGCGTTTCCAGTACTATAATATATCAGACTTTATCATAGCTGAATAGTTTTTGGATGCAGATCTTCAGAGTTTGAAGCTTTGTAACAACACAGAAGTTGTCGCATTACGAACCTCCTATTCCGGAGACGAATTGTCTTACAGGATGTGCGTGATACAAATGCTCAAACTGTTTGGGTTACTGGACCCACCGTGGGTGAACTGTACCGCTACGTGCTTGCCTATTACGTATTATGGACACTTTGGCTGGGTCCGGATCGAAGAAGCTTCTGCCTAACAGGGCATTTCACTGATATCGTGTTGCTTCCTCGTTTGATACGGAATAATTTTATTTTTCTTTCTGATGCAGGCGCACCCTTCCCCATATCCGGTGCATGTTTGTTTAACCGAATCCTTGATATTTTATCTTCAATGGGTGTTTTGTCAGGCTCCTGACATGTCGGTGTCGACCACCGAGCAAGTCGACGCAAGGAGTACGTAGGAATTCAGGGTTTGGCAAAATTCTTATCCAGCCTAGCACTAGAGGCAAAATTGAAATAAATTGTCTGAGGTTAATTACTGTTGCTCTTCTGAGGCACTTGAATGGATTGGTCATAGCTTTTGAGTTCGAGTGAGTTAGTGTTTTAGGTTTTGAAAACCTCGTCACTGAACTATTCGGATGCCGACAATTCCGATGCACTTATTGAAGATCTTGTATATTTCACTGCGAAATATCTCTGAAAGGTAGACATTACGACCGCTTTAAACAACAAGAGATAGAGCAATGCTTCATGATGAATCTTTCTAGTAAAGTGGTAGGGCGTGGGGAATTGACGACAGTAGTTATCAATTGTGAGACGACCAGTGAAATACCACCAATGAATTTCCTATCTTTTTTAGTACATGTCACTGTGTGATGAACAGAAAATATAAAAACCCTGGAGGCACAACAATCAACTGTCAACTTTTGATAATTGGAAGCCTGATTCCTGGGTTTTATAGTAGAAAACCGCATGTGTGCATAAGCGTGGTACTGAACCGAACGATAGCCAG